GATCGGATTACATTTTTTATTTTTTACGTCAGTATCGGACCGATGCCGATACGTAATATCGGATCGGTCCATCTCTAATTCCTACTACTGACTAATCGAACCGCCAAATTTCCAATTGGTAGCCATAAGTGCCCTGTGAGATATTTTTAATGTATACATGAACACAAACAGGAGCTTTGACCTTACCAGAAGAAAATTGTACATCATGTATTTTAAATGCAGCTGTTAGCATTTCCTTTAACTTTACAACTTTTGTGTTTCTTTTTGAGAGTTGTTGTTTTCAAACTTTTTGTGGTGCCTTTTTTTGCACTTTTTTTTTGTGTTTTTTCTTTTTGTAGGTTGTACTTCTTTGTGGTCGTTTTGCATCTATGTAGCGGTGTTATGCTTTGCATGGTGGTTTTAGATGGGAGTTGTTTATTTGTTTTCTTTGCTCTTCGTGTGTTTTAATTTTTTTTTTTTAATCTCTCTTGGTGTTTTTTCCTTTTTTGGTAGGTGTTTGTGTGTCTTGTCGGTCATTTTGCATTACTGGAAATGTTTTATGATTTGTGTGGTTGTTTTGCATCTCCTTGTCATCACTTTTAGTCTCTTTGTGTCTGCTTTATCTTTTACAGTTTTTATGTGTTTCTTTTTTTATGGATGTTTGCACTCCTTGACCTTTGACCTTAGCAAGTAATCATTCAAAGTGCATGCATTTACACTAGTTATTGCATAAATTATTGTACTAGTATAATAGTATTTCAGTTTAAGGTAATATCACTTTAAAGTGAATGTGTCATTACTTTTTCATTCTATAATTGTTGGTTCAGGTCTCAATGAAACTTTTTTATTTTTAATTTTTTACATTTTGTTGCGATGACATTTAATGGTTTTATCTGTTGCTTTAAAAGGAGACTGAGCTCAGCTGTAGGTTAAACTCACACATTTTGTGTGTGCGTGCGTGCGTGTGTGTGTGTGTGCCCGTCTGTCTCCAGGTGCAGCAGATGGCAGTGAGTTGTCTGCAGAGGAACCTGCGGGCTCTCAGGGTCATGTCCAAGTGGAGTTGGTGGAAACTTTTCTGCAGAGTGCGTCCTCTCCTTGATGTCAACATGGATAATGAGAGGCTCAGGGCCAAAGAGGTACATGATCACAATTATCAGAAGGTGTTCAAACACTTTGTGAAAAAATGTATTTGCTTTTTTGCAGAGATTTAGATGAAACGAATGAAGACTGAGTGATTGATTTTCTTGCTCAATGTCTCCAAATGAAGGCAAACGTATACATGTGTATTTTAGTAAAATGTTTCTTAAATGTATATATATGTATTAGCATTAATATTTTAGCTTTAGGAGTTAAATGGACAAATATAAAAGCATCTTAATCTGGTAAATAGCTTACACATCTTAGAATATTAACTTATTAACATTGCAAAGTACAATAGTTTCCGCTGTAAACTCTCTAGCCCATGCTTATCAGGGAAAGACAGAGGGTTAGATAATGCGTTCGTTGGAAGGTAGCAAAGCATTTTTTGGCAACATTCAGATTACACTGTAATGCACAAAGTGACAAATGTCTTCATGTATTGTAGAGTCCTGGATGGAATATCCTATACACTGTATCGGTGCTTCACTAAATGTTCGCAGAATACCACAAGGTGGAAACTATGTGGGACTCTTTCAAGGCAATGTCCTTAACACCACTGTGGATGTGCTCAGAGCTGTGTTAATGTGTTATTGTATTTTTTCTTATATGTTAGTCTTATTTAACTGTAATGCAATGAAATGGCAAGTGAGCAGAAAGTACTGTGCAAAAATCTTGCCTCACTATTAATTATTTTATATTTTGATAGGAAAAAAAGGGGAAGGCACCAATGTATTGAAACATGAGCAAACATACATTGAAATATAGTATATGAGACCAAAACAATGTTTTTGAGAACATTATGAGAAGATTACACAAGGTAAAGTCATGTCCTGCTCTGTGTGGGTGAATTGACTTTTCCCAGCAATTTCCAGGACTGATCAGTAGGTGGTGCTTTTTGCCATGTCGGACTTTTGTCTTCATCGTCACTGCTCAGGAGCAGATTATATTTTCAGCATAAAGTGCCATTGACCATTTGGCCTAGTAAAAGGTACACACCACTGTGAGAGTAAAATGAAATATCCAGGGTCTGTACAGACTGTATGTAATGATGAACATTGCCACTTTGGAGTCACTGGTTAGTGAAGTCCTTTTATGAAGCCTCAAGTGAGTGGTGGTTATGATTGAGAAACTGCAACACTCATAGGCTGGTTGATTATTCCAGTCTTATAAATGTGTACATTTAGTAATTTTACATATGAAAACTGCCTAGCCATGCCTCAAGGCTCAGTAAACATAATTACATCTTTTTGTTGTGAGCAAAAGTTGCTGTGGGTTCTCTCTTAGTTAGAATAGACACAACAATTTATAACTCGAGCTTCTATTGCTATAATCGCTGACTTAAACTTACATGCCTGTGGAAGAACAATTATAAGGCTGCGTGGTGTTCATAATGGAAGTTCAGTGAGCTGTAGCAGCGCCAGCATCTAATAGGTGGATTTTGGTTTCAGTGAACGAGTGATAATAATCATAATTAAAGCTGCAAGCAGCGTTATGAGGGCCCTCGCACCCCGTCGCGTCGAGCCACGCCCAACACCTAAAACCAGCACGTCCGATCTGATGTCACATTGATGGAATTCATGCATTTAACCACCAGCTAACATTTCATCTCATTCAATCATGATTATAGTTATCCCACTAGGTGGCGCTGTAACCATTACTGACAAATGGCATAACTAACATTTCTGAGCTTGAGTCTCATCATCCCTGCGACCTTTGGGAGAGATTGGACATGGTGTTTTTGAGTGACAGCAGATTACTGCTTTTTGGCGAGTGATTGAAACCACGTGCCGCCATGACCACCCCGTTTCCCGGAACGTAAAAAGCTTCGCGATTTAACATCACAAAGGTCTTTAGATTCCACACACTGAAGATTGTGTCAATCTGATGAAAATCCTTGGAGGAGTTCGTCAAAGAACGGTGCCTGAAAAGAAGGGAAATTGTCACCAAAATTAATTTCAAAATGGCTGACTTCCTGTTGGATTTGGGATATTGCTCCAAGAGACTTTTTTGTACATCTTGATATCTTCTATAAGCTTACCAGGTGTCAGACTCATAGATAAAACACAGAGCAAGGGCTGATGAGTTGAAATTTTGTAGGGGGCGCTGTGGAGCCATTTTGCGCTATTCAATGAAAATGATCACATAACAAGAAAACCTTCATCACATTGGAGGTGTGGGCCAAATTTCAAGACTTTTTAAACTTTCCAAGCCCCTCAAAAGCCACTTCATTTTTCATGGTGAACCGAGCAGATACAATAGGGCCTTCGAACTTTTAGTGCTCGGGCCCTAATAATAATAATAATAATAATAATAATAATAATAATAATAATAATAATAAACAGAGCAGATACAATAGGGCCTTCACACTTTTAGTGCTCGGGCCCTAATGATGTTTCAGTCACAGTGAGTCTTCTATTTTGCCATTTTTGTCAGGATGAAATATCAGTTCTGAGACGACGCCTAGAAAAATCAGAGAAGGAGAGAAATGAGCTGAGGCAGACTGCAGACAGCCTGGAAACCAAGGTTTGTATTCTCACACAGACACACCTACACACACACACATGCACACAAACAAACTCATGTTGTGATCTATGTGCAGGTTACAGCTGTGACATCTGAACTGAGTGATGAGCGTTTCCGCGGTGATGCCGTGGGCCAGGCTCTGGATGTGGAGAGGGCAGAGAGACTTCGACTCAGCAGGGAGAACAAAGACCTGCAGGTAAGACAAAAAAAATCCTGTTACTTGTTACTCAGTTTACAAGTCCTGTTACTTACCTCGTTACTTCTTTAACTATAGGCTCGCCTAGATCAGTGTAAAGTGACCATGGAAACCCTGGAGAAGCAGCTGGAGGAGGAGAAGCAGAAAGCTCAGGCTAAGGAGAGTCAGAGAGGAGCAGTGACAGGTAGAGAGTAGTCCTAGGACCAATTTAGTGTTGTCCTGCATGTTTGCCAGGACCTACACAGGGGTACATGATTTTTGAGTGCCAGGAGTGTTTTCTGAAGCCAAAAATATTTACACCTAAGCCAATAAAAAACAGCTTCTTCCCAAAGTACCACTGATAGCTGGAATTAACCCTATAAAGTTTAAGTCTTCATCAGCGATGACTCCAAAACAAACCCTGTCTCCAGAAGACACATTTACTTTAAAGGTTATCAAATTGTTCTCCGAAATCAAAATAATACATATATATATAATATATTATATAATTATAATTATATTATATAATTATATAATAATATATATATTTTTGTCTTTCTCCAAAATATAGACTAAGAGTAAGGATATTACCTAAAGCCTCAAAACCCAGTCATATGATTCTTCTGCTACGTTTCTCCAAGACAGAAAAGCTTGTCCCCAATGTTTGGGGAAGAAAAGTTAAAAAAAAAAGTTAAAATATTTTTAAAATGCTCTGTAATCATCTCTATTCATTATGCCTGGTGAACAATCTGTGGCTCAGCTGTATGAATGTGTGTGTGTTGGGTGATGGGATTTATAGTAGAAAGGCGTTTGAGTGCTCATATTGACTAACAGGTGTTATATAAGTACCATTCCATTTACCATTTGATTTGAACTCACCAAAAGAACAATCTGCAAAACTCAAAAAACGAATCAAATTATTCATAAATATCTTATTTTATCACACGTGAAATCTAGTGTTGAAATAGAGAAATGTCACAACATATAAAGTGACTCCATCAAAGTCATATCCATTCCTCCACATCTTGCAGAAACTGAACTGGTCATGCAGCTGGAGTGCTGCCAGACAGAGATGGAATTTGTTTGCAGACGACTGAAACAGACAGAGGAAAAGCTTGAGACAGAAAGAGAAACTCGACAAGAGCTCGATGCCAAGGTGAGACAGGATGCTGAAAGGTGAACGGAGCACTGATGGGTGATTAGTTTCTAAAGTTACTTAGTATTACTAAAGTTATGATTTGTAATGTTACTCTGTTTTTGTGAAGGTGGCGACATTGCAGGCCCAGCTGGAGCAGTCCAGGAGGAGTGTGACAGAGGTGAAACGTCACTGTCGTCATTTGACCTCTGACCTTCAGGATGCCCGGGTCCTTACCGACAGTCTGCAGAGCCGCATGCATGAACTGGACCGCAAGCAGAGAAGGTTTGTTTTAACCCCACGCTGTATAACTTTCATCAGCCAAGATTATGATTTGTCATATCAATATACAGCTGTGTATCTTTCTTTCTTTCTGCATTTCTGGTATAATCCTTAGTTTTATTTTGTGTCATGTGTTTCTGAATGTCAGTTCCTTCGAGTGCCTGTGTGGAATTATTTGTCTGAGTTTATTTACTACTACTACTATTACTAATAATAATTATATCTTCCAAGAAAATATTTTCCTCTGACCCTCTGATATTATTGTTATTGTTTTATTTTCTTCTGTTGGAAAAAACTTCTAGCTTTTCCCCCTTTTTTCTTTAATATTCTAGGGAGATGTAACTATGAATCAAGACTTTGTCTCTTTTCTGCTGCTGAAATTGCAACTACTATACAGAACACCCCCCTGTTCAATTAATAAAGTTAATTTCACTTTTCCCGCCATCAAACAAATGAGATGTGTCAAAAAGTGATACACTGCCAAAAATTGTCGATATATACTTCTTTACAAATATGATGTATAATCATAGTGAATACAAAATCCTCCTGCTGTTTGTATGCGTTCATACAGGTTTGATAACAAGCTGACTCAGGCTCTGGAGGAAGCTGAGTGTGAGCGAGAGCAGAAGGACAAAGCCTTTCAGGAAAACACAGCGCTGGGAGCTGAAATATACAAATTGCGCTGCAGCCAACAGGTGGGTTGGCCTATGTGTTGACTGTGTGTAGATTTTTATATGAACTGATTAAAAGATTTATGCTATTTCACAGTAATGTCATGTAATGATGAGTTTGTGGTTACTTCAGTAATTGTGCAGATGCCAAAAGCTACAGTTCCTCAAATGTACCATATTAAAAAGCTTAACAACATTAAAAATCATCCTGATTTGGTCTTTGTCCCCCCCCTTTTATACAGCTCTAAAATCCAATTAAGCTTTTTAATAACTCACCTGACTGGATAGCCTCTAAAACCGACCTCTGGACTGTGTTGTTTGTGACAAACAACACAAAGCAACATTAAAAAAATAATGGCATCAGCTGTGCTTACACCGAAGATTCAAAATACACAAACAGATGGTGATGCCACTTTTGTTGCATACATCTGTAGACTCTATGTAATATTAAATAGTCTTCAGAATTTTTTAGTGGATTTACATGTGATTTTATGGAGTAGTATCCAAAAGTGTGCAACAGAAAAACAGACTGATTCAACAGGTTAACCTGGAAGAGAGTCTCAAATGTAATGTGGAAATGACAGCTGTCACATGTAATTCATGATAGGCTGTTGCTCTGATCAAATCAAACAGACCATACTGTAGGTTGATGACTCTGAGACAGCTATGTTACAGAAACTGTGTGGAGTTAACGTCACATCTGACCCAAAATGTTGATGCTGGACACTACATGAGTACAGAATGAAGGCTGACATGCTGCTGAGGAGACAATTAGCTTGTCATGTATATGTCTGTCTTCATTATGAACATGTAAATAAAAGTAAAGAACAAATGATTAAGGATAAAGTTACAAAGCATTTGACTCTTACTTTCAGGGTGATATCACTATGGTGTGGCGAAGAAAAGTTACATTGGTCCCAAAAGTTAGAAATAGTTTAGTTTAGTTGGTTTAGCAGCATTTTGATTTTTTTCGTGTTTGTGTTCCTACATGATATTGTGTTCTGGATCATATCCCAAATTGCAAAACCTGCCAAACCTCCTTGAGCTAGCTCATGCTGACTAACCTGTGCCAACTTCCAAGATGCTGCACTGACCAATGGACAAAGATGAAATCTATAAAGGAGCATGAGAATGAAATGTCTTAAAGTCAGAAACTCCAGTGTTGTGTGGATGTGTGCAGGAAAGCCAGGCAGAGGTTAGCCGTCTGCAGAAGCAGAAGGAGGACCTGTGTGCTCAGATCCGTGACCTCAGCCTACCCGTTGACCTTGCCTCAGAGTCACTGCCTGCCCTCAAGAAGCAGCTTCGCCTCCTGGAGAGCCAGGTCAATGAGAAAGCAGAGGAAATCGCCAAGCTCACTGCCAAAATACAGCAGCAGCAACAGGTGATACAGCACACACAGAATATATTGCTGTCCCTGCTGCTTCTTCCCTCACCATTGTCTTTGTCCGTGTCCTTTAGATCCACATGCGGTTTGAGATAGAGGTGGAAAGGATGAAGCAGATCCATCAAAAGGAGTTGGAAGATAAAGACGAGGAGTTAGAGGATGTCCACAAGTCCTCTCAGAGACGAGTGGGTTTAACAAATACACTTACAAACTGACTGTTCCACAACCAATCATTTTAACATACATGCTTAAAAAACACGTATTTTTAAATTTGTTTTATTTTTTAATAACAACAAAACCACATGACTTTAAGGTTGGATAAAGCACATCACATACAAGACAGTTTGTTGAAGTTTTGCCAGCAGATCTTAAAATGAGAGATTCTTTAAAATGAACGTTTTCCACAGAAACAGGCTCTTTCAGTGAGATCACTAGAGTTGTACAACAGCAGTTATAATGCACTGCAGACACCAGTGGTTTTTCCTCCCCGCTAACGTGGGACTGTGACATTCCCTGATTACTGATGATGCTGTGCAAAGTGAAGTAGTTAAAATGTCTGACCATTCTCCTCTAATTTCTGACATCATCAAGACATTTTCATTTGGAGAACTGCAGCTCACGGGATATTTTTTTTTTGCAAATTCTCTGTAAACCCTAAAGATGTTTGTGTGGGAAAATCCCAACAGATGCCACAGTTTCTGTGGCAGCCGGTATAGTATTAGTCAAGTCACATGGGAAAGATTATCACATAAATATTACAGAGCAGTAATTCTGCTTTAGGCGCTGTCACGGCCTTTTATGTTCCAAACACCAAAAAAGTCCAAGAAAAGGCCATGGGTGGCAACGGGTGGTTTGTTTTAGAACGCACTTCTGACTCCATTGTTTAAAAATCATATGTTGTTTATTTCGTGGAAAATTATAAACAAAAATCAACCAAATAACTTCTTACAACTTAAAATTAAACGAAAGTTAACTTAATTTGCTTTAACAACTTCAAAAGTGGTCAAAAAATCATTTTCTAACCCTCCCGTCTTCCCATTGGACATTTGGCAAACAAAAAACCATCTTTACCACACCCCTCCAGGGTGCTCTTAATCCCCTGATTAATGGGAGGGTCCATAAGCCAATAAACCAACCACTTTCCAAAAAACTTTTCCAATAAAATGAATTACAAATTTACATAACAAAACTAGGTCAGCATATTCTTACAACTTTAAAGAAAAAACAAAAATGAATACAAATTGCGTTTTATAAACATTCAACAAAAATGGCCACAACAGGCGCTGACATCATCATTCCTGGTAGGAAAAGCCTTATCCTCAGCATCATATTAAGACTTTTGGGAGAGATGATAAAAACTTCTTTCACACAAACTAAACTCAGCTCCTATAGGCAGGGCAGAAGAAGCTTCTGAAATTTTTGTAAGCCCTCTTCCAGCAGCATTAGCTGTAAAAGCGAGTAAGCAAAGCTCTTAGTGGCTAAACATTTATCATAGATACCTTTTATTACAGGACCAGTAGTTGCTCCTGGAAACTGTAAGATATACTAAAGTCACAAAACATCACACTTGGCTATAAACTGCACCACTGTATGCCTAAGGTTGTGCTCTGATGAAGCCAACAAAGCTACATCATCTACAAAAAGCAGGGATGCTACTTAATCCCAACAAGCTCCCCATGAATATCACAAACTGAATCAGTCAATCAACTGCCTGACACTTACAAATTCATCGTGTGTGTCTGTGTGTGTAGCTGAGGCAGTTGGAAATGCAACTGGAGCAGGAGTATGAGGAGAAACAGATGGTGATTCATGAGAAGCACGACTTGGAAGGACTCATAGCAACTCTGTGTGACCAGGTAAAACACACACACACACACACACACACACACACACACACACTGCTTGTCTGCACTCTACATTGACATCTTCACCTTTCTGCATTCCTTCCTGGCTGAAGAATTGTAAAATATGATTTCTACTATAGTTAAACAAATATCTAATACATTCCAAAAAAAAATATTTACAGACATCATGGTAACAACTACATGTACACATACAACTCTATTACTGGAAAATTGTGCAGAGATCAAAAGTAAAAATAATAATGTTACCGATCAGTGTGAAATGATTAATATTACTGCCGCATATGTTTAAGGTTGAGCTTATTTAAAATACTTTGTATTCTGTTTAATGTCCAGCATTGTATTTTAAAAGTCATATGTTTGCACTGGCTGTCGTGTGAGGACCATATATCTCTGAAAAAAAACTAAACAATTGTTTATGACCTCAGAAACACAGGCCTAAATCTTGATTTTTTTTAAAAAGTATATTAAAAACATCCATAAAAAATAATTAGCTGAATCGAAAGACTTGAGCAGTGTGCGACATGGCTTACTGTTAATATCTACAGCGGAATTGGTCTCTGAATGTGGGAATGAGTGTCTCATAGAATGTGTGAATCTGAAAGTGCTGCTGAGCCTGCATCTAGTCCAGTTGCCTGTTATATTAGAGCAGACAAATTGAGATCATCATGGTTACATTTTTCCTTGCTAATGTACTAAATGAGTTACACCTTTTTTACACTCCATCTTCTCTACATCACACATTTTGGCCAAGGTGGTTTATTCATGATGCGCATGCACAAACCACGAGAAAAAAGCAAAAAGTTGCTGGCCTCTTAGGTTACCCAACTTCAGTCATTGTTAATGGGAGATGGAGCTGAGGCCTGAGCCATGCACTACTTTCCATCACAAAAACGGCACAATTCTGTGATAGAAAATAGTGCATAGCTCAGAAAGACTTGGAGAAATCACTGTCTGTGAACACAGCTCACTGTGCTGTCCAAATGCAGAGAAGCCACAGCTGATCATGTGCTGCAGAAAGATTTGATGCATCTCATACTGACTTCCAGCCTTGTCCCTTGTGCTCAGAGACTCTGAGTCTTTTGATGACATTATGAGTAAACGGCCTGTATAGCGGTATAACGGTATACTTAGTCCCTAAGGACCCCAAAGCGCTTTGGGGTCCTTAGGGACGCTTTGGGGTCCTGACTACATTCAGTCATTCACCCATTCACACACTGGTGATGGCAAGCTACATTATAGCCACAGCTGCCCTGGGACGCACTGACAGAGGCGAGACTGCCGGACACTGGGCCATTTGACCACCACCAGTAGGCAAACATAGGGTTAGTATCTTGCCCAAGGATATTTGGCATTTGGCAAGCCTGGGATTGAACCACCGACCTTCTGATTAGTGGCTGACCTGCTCTGCCACCTGAGCTACAGCCACCAATATTGTCTTTGCGATATTGTTCCACTGTTTGTATGCACTGTACAAACTGTTCCACAGTTTGTATGTGCACTTTTTTTTGCATACTGGTGAGCCTCTTCCCACGTTTACTTCTGAGTAACTCTGCCTCACTAAGATGTTCTTTTTATACCCAGTCATGTTACTGAGCTGCTGCCAGTCAACCCGATTAGTTGCAAAATCGTCCTCCAGCTGTTTTGCTTTAGTACCACATCCATTTCCTTTCCAAACTTTTTTGAGACGCGTTACTGCCATCAACTTCATAAGGAGTTCATATTTTTCTTACATGTTTCTTAAATTTTCTCAGTTTGAGAAAATTTACTTTTTAACATATATGTAGAATGTGACTAAACATTTCTCCCATTGAAAACATGATGTCGAGATGAACAGAATCAATTTTTTGGGATTTCTTTACCTGGATGATTGAGCATACATCAAGACATTGCATTGCAATATTTATATTCTACAGTGTCCCAACCAATGTTCCCTCTATTTTTTCATGTGTCTGAGCGAACACACAAACTCCCTGAGCGGACACTTGGACCACTGTGAGCAACATTAGACGTGTGCACTGTGGTCACGCCAGCATCAAATCCATCCAAGTTACATGGTTTATTAAAAGAATCAAATTACAGCATTTACGTTTATGTCGGACTACTTTTAATTAAATGCTTTATCCCACTTACAATGAAAATGTAAAAAAAAATCTTGTTCATGACCTGTGTAGTATTTTAACACTATCGGAATTAAAAATAACTTGAACTCCAATTTTGAAAACAACTTTTTTATTTTTTTTAATAACAAAGCTCTGACTTGTATTAGGAGTCTGAGTCTGTGGTCTGGGAGAGAGTCCTGTAACTCTCTGTCTGCAAAATACAGTATATAATGACCAATGTTGGGTAATTAATTATATAGTTACTACTTCAAAAAAGTAACTGAGTTATGCAAACAACAAAGTTTTTTTGCAGCTGTTTACCTAAAAATGTAGCCAATGCGTTTTTTAAAATAAACATTTCAAACTATTTACAGAACAATCAGCTGTTCTGCATCAAATCTGATGCCACACAAATCATTTGTACCACTCCAAAAAATAATTTCTGTCCACTATGAGATAAAGGAGAACAACAGCCTGATACCTGCAAGCCTGACAACAGGAGATGTATCACTCCTGTAACACCTGTAACATTCAGTAGTCGCCTCATTGTTCTGACACACATAACAAATCTATTGTCTACACTACACACTAACTACACAAGATTTGCGCTAAACGTGGCAAATCTCTCCCATCTCAAAACACCGCCGTCACTCCTAAAACTCCCCCCTTCCTAAACAGCTAAATGCCATGTTGCCATATCATTTTTTGATTGGCCCACATAGTACATTTTTCCACCAATAGGAAAGGCTGGGGGACGGGGGGCTTTGCTCACAGGTGGAGAGTGCTTTCGGCGTTTTCCTTATAAAACGCAGTTTTTACCATGAATTCCCGCAGTAAATATAAACAACGATAGTATTCAGGAAGAAAACCAAACATTGCATATATTTTTTTAAATCATAACTATGGTTTTACGTGGCCTATCAACATAATTTAAAAACTGTTATAGTTTTTAAATTATGGTATAGTCCACACTTTTTCGTTAATTGTTCCGTCTGTCCTGCTCACATCTCCAATGGTAGTACACGTTGTCATTAACGTGGCTTCACTCCACATCAGCCACGCTGCTTTGCTAGCTAGCCTGTCAACGACGTTGATTAGCTGCGTATATACGAATGTGAATGCATCATTGGCTGGACTATATATGGACTATATATGTATGTATGTATGGTATGGGATTATGTTATATATATATATACATTATTATGTTATATATATTAACAGTATGGGATTAGGTGGCATCGTTCTAATCCCATACTGGAGCAGCCAGTCACTTACTGACTAACACTGCAAAACAGAATTGTTAGCGTATTTATTTTAATTTCAATTCAGGTTAGATTTTTCTTGTGTGTGTGCAACACAGAGACGTGCCAGCAGTGCGCAATTGCGCACGCGCGCAGCTTAGAGGGAACGTTGGAACATTCTTACAATTGCAGTTGTACTTGATACTTTCTAAGGTTATGGAAGGTTGTTAGGTTGAAAGGAAAAGTTAAACAGTGCATCACCAGCATAGTAGTATTAAGACATTAAGCAGATTTGAATTAAAACAGAGGAAACCAAAGGATCAACTCACAGTGACCCTGATTGAAAGAGAAGCACAAAAACACACATAGAATATGAATGATGCCCAATGAAAACTACTTGTGAGTGAGCAAAACTAGTAAAAATCACCCTATTTGAATAATCTGAATATCATTTCATTTCATTTATTTATTTCATTTCATTTATTTATTTCACACTTGGTACAAAAAAATTTCTAATTTTGAGTTCACGGTGATGTGCTGTGATGTCAATGAATGTGTGCCTGGAACTTATCAAAGATAGGATAGAGTTACTTTTACTAATTCAGTTATTCATTTAGAAGAGCTTTATTCTAAGGTGTCACACTTTACAGGTGGGACACAGAGACTTTGATGTAGAGAAGAAGCTAAGGAGAGATCTGAAGAGAACTCACGCCCTCCTGGCTGATGCCCAGCTTCTTCTTGCTACAATGGAAAGCTCAGGGCAGAACCTACCCAACAGCAGTAAAGACCAGATAGAGCATCTGCACTTCCAGGTACGTCCACTTTTACATTCACCTTTACCTTGACAAACCTGCTCTAGTGTCACCTGCTGCTTTGCTGGAGAAACACTTCCCATGTCTCCATTTAGCTTGAGGAGAGCGAAGCAAGGCGACTTGAGGCTGAGAGCATTCAGGCGACTCTCTCCCAGGAGCTGGACAACAATCAGGCTGAGCTAGAAAACATCTGCAAGCAGAAGAGTGTGGTGAGAGTTTTATTTTTATTGTGCATTGGCAGGCATGTGACCCATGGAAGGTAAAGGAGTGAAAGCACTCTTTGTTGTGTCTACTGACTTGTTAAGCTCTGAAAAAACAATGTACAACTCTAGTGATCTCACTTGCTTTGCACACTCTGTGTGTGTTTGCAACTGGAAAATAAAACATGGTGATGTGAGTGTGTTCTGATGTGCTTGATACTCACGGTCCTGAATTTAAATATTGCATATTTAATCAGACATCATGTAGAAAATATCTTAGAAAATAACTTTAGACACAGACTGTTTGTCTTCTTGTCTTAGCTTCGTTTACGTAATACTAAAACTGCACATTACTTGAAATTAAATAAAAACATAACTAATTCTAAGCAAACTTGACAGGGTCACTTGTGATTTCATCACTTTCTGTCTTCTTATTTTGGGTACAGAAAACACTCTTTAGATTAAATAGTAAAAATGAAGAGTGTGGAGTAGTCTTCCACTTATGTTTTTGTCTTCCTGAGTGCAGGTGGATGAAAACTTAGCTCTGCTGCAACAGGAGAAGGTGGACCTGTTGAAGAGGCTCGAAGAGGATCAGGAAGACCTAAATGAACTTATGAAGAAACACAAAGCACTCATTGCGCAGGTACTGCTTTTTAGCTGAAATCCTTCAAATCCTGTTGATGACCTAAGTCATCATTCACTTCAGGTGACTTTCTCTTGCTTTGTCCCCTTCAGTCCTCCAGTGATATTGCTCAAATCAGAGAACTGCAAGCTGAACTGGAGGAGGTGAAGAAACAGAAACAGTCTCTCCAAGAAGAGGTATCTTTGCTTTGACAGTCAGAAATTAAAATGATCACTCGGGGGTTTATGAACCAATTGTGCTTTTGAAATTAGCTGGGATGAGGTTGTGATGGAATCATGGAACATTTAACCTGCTTGTTGCAAGTCTGAATATACATGCCAGCTTCAGGTGGAGCACATTCACGCTTTCTGATATATCTGCACGTTGATCCTCTAAATGTTTTTGGCTTGCAACTCAGCTCCAGCAGTGTGTATCGAGGGTGCAGTTCTTGGAATCGTCCACTGTGGGGCGCAGCATTGTCAGTAAACAAGAGGCACGTGTACGTGACCTGGAAAATAAATTAGAGTTTCAGAGAGGGCAAGTGAAGAGGTTTGAGGTAAGCTTGGATGATTCATCTACACTTGTTACCATGCGAGAACATGCCTGCAGCTCCTACGTCTCCCGTAGGTGCTGGTGCTGCGGTTGAGGGACAGTGTGGTTCGTCTGGGAGAGGAGCTGGAGCAGAGCGCACAGGCCGAGGCTCGGGAGAGAGAGAATGCCCGCTACTACCAGCAGCGTGTGCAGGACATGAGACTGGAGATGGAGGAGCTGAGCCAGGCAGAGCAGGAGAGCAGCCGCAGACGCATGGAGCTGGTAACCACACCTTGTAATAACCGATATCATGAGCGATGGTTATTTTACTGTTGGCAAGCAATAAAATAATAATCGGTCCAGTATTATGTAAAGTCGAAGCTGATTTTAGTAAGACTCTTTTTCACTTTAATGAAATAATTCATTTCAGTTTTAACACTCACCGTGTATATCTACATGAGATATATGTACATGTGTTTGACCATTGCATTTAAACACATTAATGTACAATAATCATTAGTGAGTGCCAACATATTATTAGTTCACAACATATTCAGTTTTCTGTTTATTAACAATGGTTATTACAACATGTTACCATATCAGTTATCATAAAAAGTTTCCTTGTATTGTCTGCTGACTAATCCTGTATCAGAAATTGAGTAAGCAATTTTTGCAACAAACTAAATCTGGGGCAAAGACTGTGTTTATTTGGGACAGTGAAGGACGTGTTATTAATGACAAGTCTGAAATTTTGGTGTAACTAACCTAAAAATAAACAAGAAGCACCACAAAAGTGCAAACCTTCACTAGGGCAGCTCATTCTCTGAGCAGCATCCCCTGTTAAAGGAACAGTATTGCATTTTGCATTTATTCATTTAGGCTTCTCTGTTATTTTTAAATGTACTTCAAGAAGTTTGTATTGCTGTAAAAATCAGATAAGGATAGCATGACAGAGGTTTGTGTACAGAAACATTATGTAGGAGCAGGTAATGGATAAAATGTATGGATATGGAAGTAAACAGACATGAATAACTTAGCTTATTGTATAATATTATGCTGTAGTGTATTTCTAACTAACTACGCAGCTCATTGTCAGTGTGGACAATACTTTCTTTAGAGATGTAACACATTTTGGGGTCAGTTCCAAAGAAAAGTAGTGAAATGTAAAAGTGAGGTCAAAAGTCAAACGTGACATGAAATTTAAAATCTTTATAGGGTATTTTCTATACATCGAGAATACACATCACACTTGTAAGAATTGTAGATTCTAACTTAAAAGGCTTTTTGACAATTTTCCATTAATAAATCATGTTGACCTTGAAGTCATCGGTGTATGGAAGCAAATTTTAATGGAACTTTTCGAGCTGTTGTGTTTACAGACAGAATGACACTGGTGGACAAAAAATGCTACCAAAAGCATACCCTTCTTGGCAGAGTTAAATGTGCAGGTTACAGTGTAGTGAATTTATTCATATAGCACATTTAAACATGTATCCTATTCTGTTCAATTCAATTCAATTCAAATCACAACAAAAGTCGCCTCAAGGCGCTTCATAGATACAGAGAAAAACCCAACAATCATATGACCGCCTA